TACATATATATATATATATATATATATATATATATATATATATATATATATATATATATATATCTGTATTTCTAGTCTCTATAAAACCCTCTAACTTGCTACTTCCTCTGAGCAGAAATGGTGAATTAATCTTATTTTGCTTGCCAATCCTAAGTGATGGCTGCCTGGAGTACCATGAGTAGGATTCTAAGGTTGTCTCTGCACTAGCAAGGAGGAGTTGTATAATCGGTTGGCAGCGCCTGCCTAAGACCCAGGAGAGAGTGGTGGTACACATGCTCAACAGATGCAGTCCCTGCTCAGGAGAAAAACCACTAAGCAAACTCAAAGACATAACCTGGAAAAACTTAAGAGTATCTTGTTTACAGACCTGATTTGGTGGAACATGAAACCCTGCTGACCAGTAGAGGGTCATTCCTAATGAATAAACATGCATCTGCCCAAAAGAAAAGCACATGATTAGATTCCAATCATCTCTCTTACTCCATAGTCCTGCAAGCAAAATATAATTCAATTTCCATGTTTTCAAACACTGAAGTCTGGCTAACCCAACACCCTCTACATTTCTCTTCACCTTTGCTATTCTAGAAGCTAGAAAGCCAGAAACTTGCTTTCTAGAAGAAATCATGACACTTAATTTTGGTGAAAAACATAAGGGAAGACTATTAGGGGGCTTCAGGGAAAGCTTTTGCATTACTGACACAAAGAGCACATGTGACTGACCCTATCATTTCCCCCTTGAATACTGATGTGACTCACACGTGGAGTCATAGCAGTCATTCTATGACCATAAGGCAACAAGCCTAAGGACAAAAAGCCAGCAGCTGAGGAAGGTAGAATGGAAATACACAGGCTGTGAACCCTTGACGACACTGCTTAGCATCTGACCAATCCCTAGACCTCTTGTTAAGTAGCTCATAACTTTATCTGTGGCTCTGTCACCATATTTTATGCTTTCTGTTTCTTATAGTCAGAAGCATTTGTACATGATACGTTATGGTTCAGCCTAGCTAAAAAGTATCCTATTTCATTAGAAAGCAACAAGGTTTAATGGGAAGAGCATCGTCTGACTTCTCTGAGCCTCAGTTTCCTCATCTTAAAGTGAGTATAATGTCTGAATTCTAATAAGGGATCAAGTAAAAACTACCAGGAGATGGTAATATGAGTGATTATTAGTGTCATTATTATTGAATATAGAGTATTTACAATATACCAAGCCTTGTTATAAGTATTTTACTCAGATACACTTATTTAGTCCTCACTACAATCCTGCATGGTTGATATTTTAATTGTCCCCCATTTGTCAGAGGAAGAAACGAAAGTATAGACAAGCTAGAAAATCCAGACACCAGCACCACTTCCCTGAACCACTTGGCTATACAGCCTCTGAATCATACCAGTCCTCAATCATTGTCTGCTGGTAATTAGTGTGGGGCTTCTATCATAACTGACAAGACACATTCCTCTTAAGATCTCTCTTCTTAAGAAGTGAATTTTGGGACTTTGGAAGGGAAACATTGAAGTAATGAAACATGGCATGTAAAAACACATAGTTACCTGAGCAGCCCACTGGGTTTAATACAGGTTTTAGCTTTTGGTTTTGGTTTTTCAGTTTTTTGGCTTTTTTTAACTCATTTGAAGTCACCTGTGCTAATTAATGAGCTCTTGCTTTTGTCTGACATTGTACCTCTAAACCAGCCCCCTACCCTTGAATGAACATAACTAAACACAAAGCAGGTGCACAAGCTGCACCTCCATTTCCAGAGAAAGGATCCTGAGATCAGGGGCTGGATAGACAGTCACTTATTTCTCATAAATCTGACAAGCTTCCTGAACTGATTGCAATGGCCACCACCTGCAAAGCTGGTCTTTGCACATGGTCAGCAGTATGGGGTATGGAGACTGGCAGAACTGCAGGAGTTGGTGGAGCAGGGGTCGAAATGCAGACAGGGCTCCAGCCTCCTGATCACTGCCAGAGGCATTGTGCACATCTGGAGACTCACCTGGATTCCAAGGGTTCTGTCTAAAACTGCCCTAGGACAAGGCCACAATGACTATAGACTTCATCCAAATCCTAAAACTAGCCCATTGGTAAGCACTGCCTACAGAGGAGTGGTGCAAAGGATTTTGAAGGCAACTCTTAGCCCAGTGGAATGAACACTATTATTGATTGGTGATGTCTGCCATGAGCATGGGCTGAGGTAACGGCAGCACAGATGATTTATTAGAAACCTGCCCATAGCTCCTACCTCCCATGCACCTGGAAGCATGACACCAAGCAACTCAGTATACTGGTTAGAGCAGGATTTTAACCAGAGAGGGATCAGGGTACATCTTTCCAACCTGAGAATGAGGCCCAGGGCTGAGGGAGGATTCTGAGCACAGCTTGTTCTGGGACCACTCTCCTAATTGCCCAACCCAACCCCCACAGACCCACACTAAGAGGCAAAAAGAGGAGCCCATGATGAATAGAAGCAGATAGTGGTAAACAGAACTGAGTGTTAGGGATGCTATAAGAGAACAAGTGACCAGATGGCCCTGCCTCCTGGTTGGTTACTCTGGCCCCTTAAGGCTTGCTTTACATGCTGTGCTTCATACAGCTAGAGAGTTAAGCTGCCAAACAAAATAGTTGTTTGGTGCATTCAGAGCTCAGTCCCTCCCACACTGGCCCTCTCCCAGCTCATACTCACCCTCATCTTCCTGGCCCATACTCTCAGCAACACGCTTACACAGTTCTCAGCTCAGCCTATTAACCTTGAAACTACTGCAGCCCTTTAGCCTCTGTCTGGAAGAATGTGTACAGAAGGGAGAAGCATATTTTTCTCTAACTCAAGGATGCTCTGGATAGAGGAGTGACTAGAGCATCCTTCAGAAGGTATTCAGTGCCCATGCAGTTGAAAGGGCATTGCTGTTCTTCACCAGTGAGTGCTGAGAGGGTGCAGGAAGCACCAAAGGAGCACTCAAAATCTGTTTTGGCTCAGGTCCTTTAGAAAGCAGAGCCTGAGGCAAAGATTAAGCGCTGATCCTACATTCATGAGCTGCAATCCCAGGGCAATGAGAATAAGGAGGGAAAAGGAAGGAGATTAGGGACAGCTGTGGAACAAGGCCATCTCCTTGCAACAAGCCACAGAGCCCAGCAGGAAGGGCAGCAGGCAAGGCTCCTCAGCACTCAGGACTTCTCTGGAAGGCTTGCACATCTCAAAGTCATTCACAAGGAGAGAGAGGAGGCAAGATGTATCCTCTTAGTTCCCTCCAGACTATCATTTACCACTGGTTAAGGTTCACCCATGGGAAACTGACTCCTCTGCAGGTTCAGATTGTATGGGCATGGTCCTTTGGTGGTCTCACAGAAAGCCAGATCCCAGGGCTCAATATGTGGCATCCTAGCTGAGTCCAGAGTGTAGGAAGCAACATGTTGTAAGTGGAGCCAAGAGACCCAAACAAATCTGAGAGGGATCCAAGTCTGTATCCAACCTAGGAGTCCAGTGATTCACCCCTGGGGGCCTGGCAGTGTAGGAGAGGGAATGTGGTCCTGGCTGCTGGAATGATGATGGAGCCGGGGACACTGCAACAGGGACTCTCATGTTTTAACTGTTGTGGGCTGTCTTGGGGACATGTGGACCCAGACGAACTAAACCTGGAAGCCATAGAGGCCCCATTCTCTGCATCTCAGAGCCTGAAGGAAAAGCAGTCCTAGTTCCAGAATGACTCCCAAGAGAAGTCGCATTTCCAGATCTGTATATTTCCCATGAAAGGACAGGGAAGAAGGAACTCATTGATTAAACACCCAGTGCTGTGTGCCTGCATTCTCTCTTTTGAACCTCTTTTTTTTTATTGGAAATAATATTTACTAGAATACTTTGTTCTTTAGAAGCAAGTACCAAAAATCTCCACTGATGTCGCCATCCAGAAATAATCACTGCAGACACACTTCGGTGTATGTATTCTTAGATCTCTCTCTCTCTCTCTGTCTTTCTCTCCAAACTCAGATCATATTGCGTGTGCACATATTGAATTTCTTTTCAGGTTGTTAAATAAGTTTCTCTGGCCTTATTTTAATGTTGTCTTGTCTCATGTCCACTCTCACTGATCATTATAGCATGTTTCCGATTTATCACTAATGTCAGAAATGCAACAATGAGCATTGCTGCAGCTAAATCCATCTTGTGCCTTTGGATAAATTCCTAGTTGAGTGCTTGCTGCGTCATTTTGATCGGGAGGGAGTACTACATGCTGTTAATGGCAGCAATAGGTCAGATCATTTACCCACAGCTTTTCAATGCTTCTTTTTGAATATGGATAATAGCCTGATCAATCAAGTCACGTTAACCCCACTTGACAGATATAGAAACTGAGGCTCAGAGAAGTGAACTTGCCCTTGTCCAAGAACTAGTAAGTTGCTGGCAAGAAAGCCTGGAAATAACACTCTTAAAACCCGCTCTGCCTTGGTGATGAGAACCAGGAGAGCCTGGGCTGGGAGCTGGGGATGCTGCCCCCAGGACAGGCTTTTCCCAGGGGACAGGATGTGGGAACTGCAGAGATGCTGCACAGCTTACCTGAGATGCATCAGCCTGCCCATCGTCACTCTGTCCCTGTAGCAGTTCAGGGGCCTTGAAAGGAGCAGCCTCAATGTGAGAAACATGGCCTTGGAAGGAAAGACTTCCTGTCGCAGAAAGCAGAACTGACCAGGGGCAGACCACATAATCTGAGGAATCTGAAACCAAGTCAGTCATGAGGGTATAGAGACAGGGTCACCATCTAGAGGGCCAGCCATGTGCAGCACTTGCCTCTGGGATTGAATGTGAACAAGACCAAGGAGAGACAAGGAACCAAATAAATTGAACCTTGATGCTCCCCATGGGAGCATGTATTATGAACAGTGGCTGTCACTATAGCCAGGAAACTATCACCTGCATCCAAATTCATCAGTGGTCTGAGAGTCTCAAGATAAAAAGTAAAGAGAGATGCGTATTGTCCATCTGGAACTTAGCACAAGCCTGAGTTCTCTGGAGCCTTATCAGGACCTAGGCAGCTGGTGTTTGGGAGCCCTGTAGCTGTTCATAGAAGCTCCAGGGCAGGGAAGAGGGATAAGATGAAGTTAAAGGTACAGGTGCACAGCCTCCTTCCATCTGCTCAGCCTGGGACCCGTCACCCTGACAGAGCACGTGTGATCTCAAGAGCCAGGAGCCTCTGCTGCATGCACTGCAGCCCCAAGCACATGTGATTTCTGAGTTGACACTTGAGCGCAGGCACTCAGTGTTTTTTCAAGTTACCAATTTAATGTCTAGCAGTTCCACAGTTATCCTTCAACACCATCTCTCCTTCTCCATACAGAGAGCACAATGAGCAGCTTTCTTAGTAGAGAGCGCTAAGAGACATTGCTGGGGGCAGGAACTCTCCTGCTGTTTTTGATGGTGGAGCTTTGCGCTGAACATATTCCCAGGACCTGAGGTCCCTCAGCCACCTCAAAGCTCCGCCTGGCCCATGCAGTCACCTTCTCGAGTCTACACTGGGTTCCAGCCCTCCTGTTCACACCAGCTCCCAGAGGAGGCTCGCCTGAGCCTGCCAATGCTTTAAAGGATCACCCCAACCCACACTCCCTATGCAAGCTCACTGCTTGGCCACCAGCGGCTATTGTGTGGGCCTTGCCTGAAGACCACCTCTGGCAAGCCAGCAAATTTCACCAGCACCATGGCTGCAAGTACAGCTCCTTCAACAGAGAGGGGGTTTCCCTTCAAAGTTTGTCTCTCATTGGAAGCCTACCCTCAGCCCTTGGGAACCATGTAGTTTCCTTTTATCTTACAGTTACTCTTCTATCACAGTTTACTAACTCTTTATGTTAGCCACCCCTTTTTAGAACACAGTGGATGTCTGCCTTCTGATGAGACGCAGTCTGGTATACCATGTGGTGGTCAGAGTATAGGGCTGTCCCAGGGAACTGCACCCACCTCTTATCTATGGTTATACCCAGAAACAACCTAGGCGTTGTTAGAGACCCATGGTGCTGCAGCTGATCTCTCCCTAACCTCTCCAATGTTTGCTTGTTACAGTGATTGTCACTGTAACACCAAGGCAGAAGCAAAGCCTTTCTTTCAACTCTGCCATGGCATGGGTCCTGAGAGACAGGCCTGCCCTCCCTGCGCAGCTCCATGGGTAGATGCCATTTGCCTACTCATTCTAATACCTTGGACTAATCATGGAACAAAAAGCAGCAGCCAGAAATGTGTTTGTTTGAGAACCTTCACATACAACTCCCCATGACTCGGCTACCCCAAACACCCTCTTACCATTACGAAGGTCTTCCAGGAGTTGCTCCGCAGCCAGGGACAGGAGGGACCAGATTTCGTCCTCAGACAGAGCTTCACCTCTGACCTGCAGGGCACTGGCCAGTGTCACAGAGGACAGGCTCATGCCTGCAAAAAAAGACTCATGTGTGACAGAATCCCTGCAATGTCCAGGAACACATCTGACCCAGTTTTCACCACTGCGAGCCACCCAGCCACTCTTCACAGTGCACAGGCACTATGTTTTCATCACCCTTGTCCCTGGAGCTGAGTACAAGGCCAGGCACACAGAGAAGTTAAAGAAGTGTGCACTAGGGGGCTGTTCAGGCTAGCTGGTTATTCTCAGTGAATGAGCAGACAAATACTTTTTTTAAAAAAACTTCCAAATGAAAAGTTAAGTGAATAAATAAATGAACAACCAGATGGACCGTGAGAAGGATACCTCTGCACTGGGCACCAGCTGTTGCAGAGAGCTACCTATGCCTGGGCAGTGTGCTGCCTCCTCTCCTTCTCTGTCTGGAAAAGAGAGTTAACCATTTTTGCCTCCAACACATGATCCACGTCTTTCATCTCTGGCTGCCACATGCGAGTTAGATTTTGGTGCCAGCACCAGCCCTTTCTCCAGCACCTGCCTGAAGAGCAAATGAGACTCACTGGAAGGAAGAACAAGCCCGTGCTTTGGAAAGGGGCAGACTTACCAGAAGCTGGAGGAGGGCTGAAGAGTGCTGTTCTCCTCCCTCTCTTCTGGGAAGCAGTGCCTTTAAACCAAAGCTGACATTTAAATGTCTATCTCTCTGACAAAGCCTCCACCCACTAATCTCCCAAGCCCAGGTGCTGGGTGGCACAGGAAGAGGCCAGGCAGTCTTTTCCTAATCCATTTACATCCTCACTGATCTTTCTCTACAGACAGAGCTCAAGCAGGGTGGGTGTACAGTGTTGAGAGCGAGATGGGGAGCACGTAGAGGCACCCCCATCCCCCATCAACATGCTAATCCAAGCTCCAGTCACCAGCTGCTCAGTTCCCTACAAATGCCTCTAACACCAGCCTCCTCCAGCCTCAGGAAGAGAGGCAGTTTCCGGGAGAAAGAGTTTGCTCCTCCATCTCTCCCTGGGGCAGGGAGGAAGCTGCAGCAGAGCCTCTTCAGGAAGCTTGACTTGTGAGCTTTTACTTGTCACAAAGATCTTGTGAAGAGGGACTATTGTTTTTATTTACAGACAGGAAAGTCATCCAATGTAACCAGGTAAAAAGTGGTGGATTGGAAGCTGAAGTCCAGGCCTTTTTTTCTTTTTCTTTTCTTTATTCATTCCTTTCCTTTGTTTTATTTTTCTTATTTATTCCTATTCTTTTTTATAAACTGCTTGAGACTTAGGGACTAGGCATCCCCATTCTGCCACATTTTTCTAACTCTCTATGACAACAATGAAAGGTTACTTATTCACAATAAGGGGGAACAGCAAGACTACGCTTTTCAGAAAGAATATCCCTGAATTCCAAAATAAATATCAAGTAGGTGGGGTTTTTCCAATTGCTTTAAGACTGGTAAAAAGAGTATTATAAGGTTTCTAGGCTAGTGTGGTGAGTTAAGATCATCATTTTGATATAGCAATTCAATGGAGGAAGGACAGCTTTTCCAATAAAGAGTGTTGGCTCCATCATGAAAAAAACCTGAATCTTGGCCTAAACCTCCTACAAAAATTAGCTTAAAATGGATCAAAGATTTAATGCAGAACATAAAACTATAAACTTTTATGACTAAAAAATGAGAGATGTTCAAGACTAATCACAAAGACTCCCCAGTAAGATAAACAGTTGGTTTCTCATCAAAACCCATGGAGGCCAGAAGGCAGATAGGTAACATATTCAAAGTGCTGGAGGTTGGGGGTGGTTTCAGATAAGGATTCTGTATACAACAAAGCAATCCCTCAAAATGGAAAGAGAAATTAAGACATATCCACAGAAACAAAAACTGTGAGAATCTGTTGCTAGCAGTCCCTCCCTCCAAGAGATACTGTGGGTCCTTCAGACTGAGATAAGAAGCCATTAGACAGGAGCTCAAATCCACATGAAGAAATGAGAGCACTAGTAAAGGTAATTATATAGCTAAATGTAAAAGACACTAAACATTCATTTTAATAGGAATCCTTTCTTTTCTTCTATTTGATCTAAAAGAAGATAGAGCATCCAATACTTAGAAAATCATGTAACTGATCAAGTTGGCCAAACATTCCTTTGGTTGTTAAAACTGAGAGTTATTTGAGGTTTGAAGTGAGCCTTCTTGTAAATAGAAGTGTCATAATTACAGCTTCCACATCAAATGCAACCTTGACCTTGGAGTCAGTGACAGCAAACTATTCATTATTCTTCCCGTTCAGAAAAAAAATTGTCACGTGTGTTCCAACACGCATGCATGATCCGCCTGCAGAAGGAAACATGTGCATTTCACTTTTCTGCACCAACTCCCCATCTAATTGGCCCCAGTGTCACAACTGAATGTTATAATCTGCCCACAGTGATAAGTCAGTGCTCAGAGAGAGTGCAGACGCCTGGGCACCTTCCAGAGCTCTGAATTTCCCTAGCAGGCCTAGTCACAGGCTTCCAATGTAGTTGTCCTCTGGAGAGGCTTCAATGGGGAGTAGCCTATGTGGGGACACTCCAGGGTCTCCACCTCAGTCCACCAGCCCTCAAGAACCAACCTAGACTTACAACTCACATTGCTATCTCTGTGTAATATTGTCAATATCATTTCCAAGTCCACTGATACTTCCTCTAATAACAATGAAAACAAATACTTTCATAGCATTTACTGTATGCCAGACTCTGTCCTGTGTGCATTATGTGTATTAACTCATTTAAGTCTCATAAAAGCTTTTTGTAAAAGGGCTATTATTATATCCATTTCACAGATGAGGAAACTGAGGGGCAGAAAGGTTAAGTGACTTGGCCAGTGTCACATAACTTAAACTTGGGCTTATGTTCCTGGTTTCCGAGGCAGTGTGCTTCCCCACCATACCATGTGACTATAGAAATGGTGTGAAGCACTTTATGGAGCCTGTAATCTCAGGTTATGAAATAGTCATCATCCGTTCACCATTGCACCAAGACTTCTCTCCAAGTTTTTCTAGATAATCTGGTGAATGAGGTACCGTTGCTGCATCAAGAGCTAAAAGAAGGGATCATTAACTATATAAAGGACAAAGGAATCCCAATGCATAGATAAACCCAGCCCACCAGATATCAAGGATGCCCTGGGTAAACAACCAGCCCATGGACACTCCTTGGGGGACCCCTCTACTGCCCCACCCTTATATCTCATGTACCTTCTTAAATCTCACCTTCATAGACTGACCCTCTTATACTGACTCCATTATCTGAAGTCTTAGGGGTCATCTATAGGCTAAAATCTCTTTTGCCACCTGAGGCCCCCATTTGCCCACCCAGGAGCTTCCTCATGCACCCTCCAAGGTGTTCCCAGACTGTAGTATATCCTGTACTCCAGAACTCACTTTTGTTGGTCTCAGCCTTCAGCAGCCCCTCTACCCAGTATGGCTTAGGCTAGAATCTCACCCTCTGCCCTTGATCTTTAGTACTTCTGCTTGGGCCTCCATTTCCCATGGGCCATGGAGCATCAGTCCTGAGCTTCATCTATGGAGCTTCCCTGACCCCCTTGCCTCAGCCATTCCTATATTTAACAAACACTCATCAAGGACCCAGTACATTTAAAGCTCTGTGCTACAGAGAGAATGGTAAACAATATAACATCCTACCCTGTGAGGCTTGGGGATGGGCAGCGGGAGACACAAAATCAACAAGTAAGCTAAAAGAATAATTCCATAGAATGACAGACAATGAAAGAAAAGTAAGACAAAGTGATACACTATAACATGTCTTTGGTGTGGAGGACACCTTAGCTGGAGAGGTTAGTGAGGGCGCCTCGGGGAGGTGACATCTGAGCTGAGATTTGAAGGTTGAGAAGGCGCCAGTCATGGAAAACATTTTCCAGGCAGAGGCAAGAACAGGCACAAAAACCTCAGGGCTTAGAAATTTGAAGGACAGAGAGAAGCTTGACTTTAGGGAATGTGGTAAGGGTGGTGAGTGAGGGGGGATGTTGAGTTGGAAAGCTGGGCAAGTATTGTCTGCCAGGCCTCTCATGTCAAGGAAAGGAGTTAGTATGTTTGCCTAGGAGCAATAGGAATCTTGGCCTAGCTGCTAACTTGTAGAGCACATGTAACCCACACTGTGAAAAGCCAGGCTGAAGAATTTTGACACAGTCCTGAGGCTGAGTATTGACTAGAGGCAAGGGCTGGTGGTCTAACACCTTAGCTCATCTAACACTCACCAGTTCTATAAATAGGAATGAATTTAATCAAGGGTGAGACCCGTGTCTGCCCTTGCCCGACCTCTAAGGAGAATTCCTGTGTCTACGTTTCCCAGAGAACTGCAAAGTAATGCTTATTGAGTGTCACCTGCTGGGCCCAGCTACTTCCCCAAGGGCACACCATGTTTACTTGCTGCCATGATGTTTTGCAGCATTTGTAAAGTGCTGGCCCCTGAAGAAGTAAGGATGTCTGTTACTCCTAATCCTGTATTGACTGACTGTGTAATGACTTTTTTAACTGTAAGATTTTGGTTACATTTCAATATTCTGTCTTCACTCATTTCTCCTCCTCAGCTCTCCACCAAAGCACCATCGACAACCTCTGGCCTTAACCTGTAACTGGTTAGTAAGATTTACAACCCTGGGAGACAATCCTACGTTGAAACAGAGTTTAGAGCAACATCACTGGAGCCTCTAAGGCCTTTCTTAGCTCTGAAGTACAAGGTGCTACTGCCCAGGAGAAGAAAGCATGGAACCAAGGGAAGAAGAGTTGTGTGCAGGGCAAGGAGCAAGCACACAACTCTTGGTCTCATGGGGACAGGCAACTGGATGACTATTCTTCCTTGAAGCAGTTCCTGTTTTTTAAAACTCCTTGTTCCCCCTAACTTTCTCAGTAACTTTTATCCTCTCGTTGTCTCTTTAATGTCCCTCAGGTTTCCATCTGGGGTCCTGTGTAGTTTCTTGTGTCTGTTGGAACAAATTACCACAAACTTAGTGGCTTAAAACAACAGAAATGCATTATATCATAGTTCC